TGTAATTGCAATTATCTAACCCTAATACTGTTTAGGCTATAACCATGCCCATGCACCCAGTGTATGACTACTTTCAATGCTATTGATAATAGAACACATGCATAGTAGTGTAGTGACTGGCAGTCACTACTGTGTCACACGCACACGTATGACGTCACTATGCGGCGTAGCGTCACTATCCCCCGGGTCCAAACACACACATGACGTCATCCCGGCTGGAGGCAGGAATGACGTCAGGGCCGGTTCAGGGAGTCTGGAGGTTGGGTGAGGCCGTGGCACTCTTGAGTGAACCCGGCTGGACACGTGACCTATCAAGGTGGGGGCCGCGGGCCCAGAGGGACCTTGGGTTGCCAGGTGGATAGCCGGGGAGCTTCGAGAGGGTTCTCGAAGAGAGGCGTGTCCGGGCTGGGGCCCGCACACGCCAAGGCCGATAGAAGCAGCCTCCTCACAGGGCTCGAGGCTGCCCGTGTCAAGAATGAAGAGGGATCGTGAAGACGCCTCCTGAGAAGAAGAAGAGTCAAGCCTCCATTCAGCGGACCCATAGTAGCCCACCTGACTGGGTCACGCTAGTGTATCCGAGAGTCTGAGATACTGAGTGACGGTGTGTGTGTTAGTCAGAGTAGGACGGTGGTTACCACCTTATGTTAGTGTAACGAGCTTGTTGTTAATAAACAGTTTTGCTTCCAAAGAAGTGTGTGCGCCTATCTGAGCCCATTACAGTCGTAAGTGGTACAATGGTGACACGTACAGTACGTATATTGTACACATACAGTAGAGGTAATGGGTGTAAGATACCGATATAAGTCGATGGTATAGACATACAGTTTAGGATTAAAGTAATATGCGAATAGTGAAGTGTAAAGGTTATTGTCAAAGACAAAGATGGCTTATCAGTAGTAGAATTGGGTTTAAGAAAACGGTTTTTGAATAACCGGACGCGTACATCAGTCATATGGTTAATGGCGACTCGGTTCAAGAATTGGTGTGTATGACACACGTGCTGTTGCATCTTACAGATTAACCACAATAAATGTGTTTGCCCTCGATTTGGAGCAGCTGCCCACGTCCTTCATTTCGGGTGTGCAACATGCAGACCCCAGACCCTCAAGAGGGGGGCTGGGGGGATGACGTCACACTCCAGGTCCCACTGCAAGGTTCGAGAAGGAAGGCGTGGTTAAGAGGCGGAGAGAGCTGGGACTGTGTATAAAAGCCGGACCCCTGAACGGGTCCGGCTCTTGTTGTCCACTGAAGATCCGAAGACGCCACCCTGAACACCTGGAGCCAGGGCCAGGACCCGAGGACCTTGGCTAGGTCGGGTCAGAGTTAGCCTCCCAAGACCCCGTTAGCTGGAGGACCGATACTAGAGCTGTTGCCCCAGTGTGTACGACAGGCTAACCCAGAGGACATACCTCCCTAGAGTATCGGGTGGAAGTGGCCGTTACCCCTTTGTATCAGGGATTGTTATCGTTATTGTTAAATAAACGTGTTGCCTCCAGAGAAGCCTCTCCATTTACACCCACTACACATGTAAAGGGACTGGATGGAAAGTTGCCTCGCAGAATTGTGAGAGATGGCTGCGACTTGAGAAGGCCTTGATCCAGCAGTGGATGTATCATGAAATGAAGCACATTGCGTTATAAACATGGCGACCCGAGTTCAATTCGCGGTCATGTCTGACAGCGGTTATCTGAAAGGAACATGAGTCTCCTCTTGGTCGATACAGCCTTAAATAAGTATCTCGATCCTGAGTACCAAATGTCCGATTCCCACCGGGATTTACACACAGGCATTGCATACATTTCCACGAGAATTAACGAGTGATATCGAGCAGCTGTGAGGAATCCATTTCTCTCTGACACGGGTGCGTGAGTGGAGAGATCTCTGTGATTGTCCAATTGTGTGCTAAGTTCCTGGAGCCTGCGTACCAAATGGCCAAAACAATTATATACTTTGCGTAGGCCACGATTGTTGGCATGTCCGATTACCCAAGGGATTTATGCACAGGGATTGCGTAGGAATACAAATTCTCTTTTGGCCGCAATAACTCAGTCGAAAGGCACGATAACCGTTTTCAGAAGTTGCAGTTTTGTTATAATTCCCAGAAAGTGTTTTACGTACACGCACCAATCTTCATGAGATTTTTATTTGAACGATTCAAGCCCAAGTATGTTTAATGGAGATATAATACAAACATCACAAACTGGCTTGTCAGGAGCATATGTTTGAATTATGATTAAATTGTAATGGATGAATGAATCTGTGTCTGATATACTGTATATCACGGTGGGCGACGTATGGTGCGAAAGAAGTTCAACAAACACATAAAATTGCAAATTTATTAACGAAGTAATCTGTACTTTCAACCATATTTGTGGCAATGCATACATTTAGTACATTAAAATTTTGGCATAAGTTATGAAATAATCTGTGAGATTGGTGCACTCTTTTTCTCGTTGCAATTTTTACAAACTCGCAACGACTGACATGGGAAAGTGAGGTTATGTGATTTGACCACCCACTATGGATGTTCAGCCTGAACAACAGCTCAGTTACAAGCAGCTTTGGTTTTAATAAACGTGATATCGACTGGTGTCAGCTAAAACAAGCAATCATTATCCAATGTCTCAGTGCCTTTAAGTTTTTAGTTCTTTTATTATTTCAGTGCTATTATACATTCGGGAAAGCCTTCAATCATCAGCTGATTGATCATTGATGATGCTGATATGAATGTCAATCCTGAATCTAGAAAATAATAAAGCAAAGTTGATGTAATACATCTATGAGACGATAGAAAATACTTAATGTCAATGATAATATCCCTAAAATAATAAAGTCGATGCTGTGGTGTACAATACAGATGTGATTGCTCCACTGACATAAACACAACATACTTTTGCAAAAAAATGAGGCTGATATTTAATTGAAAATAAGACTTTTTCCCAAACTACCATCCAATAAGAAAACTTCCCTGTAAAGTATTTGTGTATTTATTAATACGTGCCTTTTTTAGTTACGTAAGGATATTGGTCCTACAACTAGCTGATCCATTACAATTTCATTATTTTAAATTAAAGACAAGCCACAGTGAGAGTATGGCCATGCAACACAATATTGATCATTAAGTAAACCACTTTAATCTTCTCTCCATCAAAGGAATAATATACAAATGAGGTAAAAAGCTAGTCTTTCAATGCACACACTTTTATTTGCACTCAAAAGTAGAAATACGTTATTTTCACCCCAGATATTAATACAATTTGATGAATAAAAGTTGGTGCCTTGCATGTCATGTGTTTAAACATATCAAAAGGAAGACACCCACCTTCATGAGGTCGCACTCATTACACACAAAGTACTTTCCACAAATGAAACACAATACCTTGCTGATCTCGTCATGGAACGTAAACCATCACGGGAACTCCCATCATCCTTGCAGCGGATTAGCTAGCCATCGACCACAGACGGTCATTGCATCGCTCGATTTCAGATGCACTTCTGCAACCATCTGGAACGCTCTTTCTTCCGATATCAGGAAGCCACTGGAGATGTGCACTTTTAAATCTCGATTGAAAACTTATTTCTTCAAAACTGCTTTTGTGTTTTTTTTTTATTTATTGTCCTTCCCCTGCACATTCGATTAGTACGGCTGGTTTCATACGGTGCAAACAAAGTTCAACATATATATAAAAAAAACACTTAAAAATTGAGTCCCTCTTCATTACCATAAGCAGAGGTGGAACGCTTCAGGTTGACTGGATGAAGAAGGCTAAAGAGATTCGTGAGTAAAATACATATTTACACAATGCATTTGTAGATGGAAGAATAAAAATATATTACAAAAAAGTATTCACAGCGATGTATTTATAATATCAAGGGGAAAAAAGAGTCCAGGAGCAGAACACGTGGACAACTTACGAATCCAAGAGTCCACCAACTGCCTTTGTACCACGTGGGATTGTTGTGACCTTGCAGTGTAGATTTCTTACATACATTTTCCTGCCCACTTCAGCAATTGTTTCTTGATGTAGTTGTCCCACCTGATGACGGACGCTTGTGTTGCGCCCGAAACGTCGTGATTTAATTTATTTTATTTTATACCTACATGACTATACCGAAAGAACCAGAGTATACATTTTCCTGAATAACACATATATTTTAAATAAAATGATTCGTATTACAAATGGCATGTATTTAATGTATTAAGAACAACGCTTAATAAAAGGTAGTGTAAATTGACCACCATCAGACAATGCACGTGGTAGACTGATGCATGTAGTGTCAATAGAGAACACCATATCCCTACTGTGCATAGTTTAATGAGCACACAAACAGTGTTGACGATGTATTTTTTTTATTCATAGCTTGAAAGAATATTCTGGTAGCTTTCTGCCATGATGAATTCGAACGCTGAAAGCGTTTGCTGTCATTGCAAAGTAATCTTCTAGAAGGCACAAATGAATAATGCTTCCTTAAATCAGCAACATTAAAATGATGCTCATTAATTCATCAGATCTTTTTAGTTTTCTGGAAGCCTGAGCGTGATTTATTCAAAATTCAATGCAAACATCAACCCTATGTATTGTTGATACTCAACCAATGAACTGACTCGCACACACACCAAGGAGACAGACTATTCTTAATCTCACACAACATCCCCTTAGTTGACAATACGTCACCATCATCCTGGTTTTGGGGGTTGATTGTAAAAGGCGTGAAGCATGGACGTGGGAGGATAGAAGGACAGGAAAACAAGTGATTTTGCCAGGAGATTGAAATATAACACAGGACTGAATCTATATATCCAGAGCTTTGGGTGTTATATCTTTATTATGCGTGATGGGTTTGCTCCTGGTTATCACATATTCTAGCCCATGCCGAACACTCATTAATACAATTGTCCAAACATTCTCCATGCAGGAACCCTTTTCAACAATGAGTATAATTACATGTGTTTTCCCAAAAGCAGTACATTATTACATAAGCACACACATGAGTAACAGGCTGAATTAAGCGACGTAACTAGGGGTGTTTTTGTCATTGAGAGTAAAGGAAGAGCTCAGCATACATAATTGTCAGGTACGTGCACATTGAGGCCACGTCAAGTGTCGAAGGCTCGCTGGCAGCTCACGGGACAGATCCATCCATGTGCCGTGGGTTGAATATTCGAGAAGATTGGCAGATGCACCACCTTGGCTCCCCACAGTGTCACCTCTCCCAGCCACATGTAAACATGCACACGTACCACCCCAACCCCACGACCGCCCCCACCCCTCCCCAGCCCCACGCACCTGGAGAGCCCCACCCTCACCTGGGTGCTCGCAAATAAAAGTGCGCGCATCGCTGCGATCCTCACATCAGCGGCTCCAGATTCGACCTTCCAGTTGCTCACGGATCACCAACGACTTCAGCCATGGTAGGGAATACACTCATTGCACCATCACGACAAAGATGCCTGGCATAGCCTTTCACATACACACTGATACCGAACGTTTCGTTAGTGAGGACCTATTAAATAGGAAAAATATTATATATTCGTATAAAAACATTCCATATATTTTATGTGGAGAGACATATGTTCTCGATGACGCTAAAGATAATTTTCCGTTTCCTATTAAGGTTGTTAAACAATTGAATAAAACAAAATCGGCTTTGGACACTGATATCCATACGCTAGTCATGGAATCGATCATTGAATCCAGTGAAGACGAACGGAGAATAGTTGTTTAAATTGTTCATTGCTTGTTGATTATTTGCATCGTCATAAGCTACGATTAAACCACACGATTAGCCAAGGATGCAATGTAAAATGGATCGCTGCAGTTCATGGCTCTAGACATTCTACTCTATTGTGAAGTGTCCTGAAATACATAAATAAATATACATCTGTTCGTCTCTTCAAATAAAATACTCTCCAACTTTGACTTCGCACAATGACCAAGATGCAGTGTCGCAGCTCCGTATGATGATGTTAAGATTATAAAAGTGTTTTTTGAATTGTTTTGAAAAACAGGACTGGGAAACAGAGACGCACGCTAATTTCGACGCAATTGACGTGGTGAGTGAAGGCAGTTGCATCTGTATCCTCTTCTTGCATCTCATTACACCTATGTACTTTGTCCACCTTATCTTCTCTTGCTACTTGTCATGTTTCACTTGTCTACATCCTGTGTTATCTTACTTGGGAGTTTACGCATTGAAAGGGAGGGAACGTAAATGCTTAGAGCCCCCAATGGACGAGCACTATTGCACTTATGTGTTGTGTTTAGCTCTGCGGCTCTATGAGCATTAAAGACTGAAGCTACTCACTCTTCTCGTGCCCAAGCAATGGCACCTAGACACGAGATGGGTGTCTCTTTTCATCTCCCTCGTGTTTACCTGAGGCACTTGAAATGCAGCCTCTAAAAGGTGCGATTTCCACACATCAAGTCCATGCTTCCTGTCGTGTATCGCTAGATCATGGCCCTCACAAGCCTGTGGGATCCTTCAGCTACTGTCAGACTTGTACCCCTGATCAGACCCAGCATTCACCTCTGTACCAGCTGATATAATGATGATCATGAGACCCATTATTTATTCCCAAAGTCTCACGTCGTCTCAAGATGTTTCCAGCAGGCTCCTCCATTACCGTGATTGACTAATTCCGTGCATGAGTGGTACATGTACAAACCTTAAGTCAGTCCACTGCTGGATGAGATCCTCCTCATGCCTTGCGGATTGTGGGTTATGTGACCATACTTCACCACACTGATAATTTTGAGTTGAAGGTGGTGAGCGTAGACATGGGGACATTAAGGTAAAAGCCATCACTCGCAGTTATGCGATATACTAATCCACCAATCAACAGCACACAAGCTAATTCCATCACTACCATATCCGTAGTAGATCACAAACGCGTTTCCTTCCTTGGATGTGAATCTGTTGCTCGTCTTGACCACTAGCCACCTTCCCATTAATTTGCACCAGCACTCAGAATGCTGCCATTAACGAGCAAGGCAATGTCTCCTCCTTACTCTGCGGAAACAGGACGATGACGGCTTCATTTCGTTTAACGAATACCGGGACTTCTTGGAAATGAACGGTGTGGATCAAGACTGCAGCAGTGTGGACACAAACAAAGATGGCAAGATCTCTTTCGAAGGTGGGTGACCATGGTCTAGGGAAGATCATGGAACAGGGCCATTACCTTGTTTAAAAGGAGCATACACAAACTCAGGAGGGCATTATATAGTCCGTGAGTCATAATGACATCTGCCTTTGTTGCGACCATGATAAATGCTCTACCTTGCTGATGCTAAAGGGCTACACTGGGGATAATCGGACCCACGGAAGACAGAGAGGACAAAGACTAGGGAAATGCATTGCTATATGAACAAAGATGACACGTATTTACAAAGAAAAGCTTCCACACTCTCTCCTGAACTGGAATGTCTTCCCAATTACATAAATTCTCGTTTCACTTGTGGAAGGAAATTGGAGTACCCACAGAAATCACGCTTATACAAGAGAATAGCAGTAAAATGTGCACAAACATTTGAGAATCCATTGCACTACTGCCATCTGACAACCTGTAGTTATCAAATTCATCACATTGTAATTTACATTCAAGTGAAAATTGTGTTTTTTAGATTCTCATTTTAAATTTAGCACATAAACACAGCATTCTCAGGAAATTCAAGGTAGAATTGTGGTTATTTTACAGATTTTTTTCGTTGCATTCTCTTCTACAAACGATACAGCACAATACCGCATACCCGACTTGATGGGAATTGAGGTATAGGTGGTTATGTAACAAGGTCGGAAAAGTGAACATCTAAATAAAATTAGAGTTCGCCCTTGCACAAATAGGTTGCTGGACCAAAACAAAGTCCTTTCAATTTTACGAACCTCTATACTGTACTTTAGAAGTAAGTTAATGTGTGTTACATTTTCTGTCCATTAAGATAGGGTGGGGTTATTTAATTAAACCGTTCGGGTGTGGGCATCGATCAGTGATGCGCACTTTTTGTAATAAATAAAGGGTTTCCCTTGCTTCATTCGATTTCAGTTTATGTGATTTCGTGTACAGTATATGCGGCTAACATTTTATACCCAAAATTTGCGATGTGCGGTTTGAATTCATTGAAATGCGGCAATGTGGTTGGACGTGCGACATTGTGTCTACCTCTGCACTCCTCGACAGGCAGCTGTGTCCTGCGGTCCATTGTGAGTTATGTGTCTCCGCTACACAATTTAGCTTTGTCCACCCTCTTTTGGAACACATTTACGTCAGAAAGCGAGGGAAACCTGTACGTATGCCATCCATTTGAAATTACATTTCTCTCCCATGCCAGAGTTCTCTGATTTCTACAAGAAGGACTCTGACAAGCAGAAGGAGAAGCTGAAGCTGAAAAAGTGAACTCCAAGGACATGCCTGCGGGGTGAAAGGGTTGCTCTTAGTTTGTTAGGCTTCCACTCCAAGCTTCTTAATCATCATGACCAGTGTTAACCCTGCTACTAAGCATTAGGCATATAATGATGTATTAATTCAATAAAATAATTCGTACTCTCTCATTCGTGCCTACAATCGGCCGTGCAAGAATCTGTCATTTAAATGGTATTGCATATTATATGCAAACATTACCGTTATTCTGAGCAAATTTAATGGCACAAATGAGATTAAATACATTACAAATAAGACGTTAAAAAGGAAAATAATCTTGAATATAATAGAGAGAATTGTAACATTTCACTGAATCAGAGGATAATCTTTACATGCCTAATTAAAAAAACTACTGCTACTATTTATAGCTATTACTACTGTATTTGACACTACTGCTAATCGCACTACCACTAAGCCTCCATTGAAATGTACTTTTAGTACAAAGCATTTCAGTAATATTTCAGATGTACTGTGCTGTGCGACGTACTGGCACCATGATCGAAAATAGCGGAATGAAACCAACTCCAACGAGGCATAGTGCATCCATTCACTATGGAATAAACACCTCAATGCAGTACACGTACTCACAAATACCAGTCACAGATCACTCTTGAACAACACTACTGTCAGAATGCTGGACGTGGCTTGGTAACCTGAAAGGCAGCGGTGGACAGAATGCAAACACGGTTCTTTCTACAAATTCAGCCCAGCGTTCTGATGGATTGTTTTTTTTCATTTGCATTGAAATAAACCCAGCTTTGCTTACATAAAAGCTGACTACCCCGTGTTAATATGTACACGTGTAAATACGTGAGTGTGTGTGTGTATGCTTGTGTGTGCTTGTGTGTTGCGTCGCTGTTAGCGCGCTGTACTGCGAACTCTGCCACCGGAGTTCGATTCCCACTCACCACCAACACCAGTGACAATAAAATCAATCCATGTGTAGCGGCATTGTTGGGCGCAATGCGCGATCGCCACTACTCTTGGCCTGTAGTACCGGCCCCGGGTCAACAGGGGACGGAAGAAGGGCCGAACTCGAGTGCCCGGATTCAGTCGGCCCGTTGGGCTCAGGTGATTCCAGAGAGGCTCGTGACTGGAGGTGCATGTGGCACATTAGGAATGGACCACTCTTTTAATTATTTCCTTGTGCAGCAAGGGAGAAAAGTTTGGTTCTGTGAAAGTCCTGATGTGCTGTGCAGTCAATGCATGTGTGTACAGCAGCATGTGGTGACTGGGTTGGGCCTGTAGGTGGCTGGCAGGGTTATTAAATAACCGCACGTGTACACCAGTCACGTGGTTAATGGCGACTCGGTTCAAGAATTTCTGTGACACACGTGCTGTTGCATCTTGCAGGTAAAGGACCCAAAGGTTGTTTTTTATCGTTATAGAAGTGTTCTAGACTTGTTATCGACTTAGTCTAGACTTCAAGCTTGACTTTGAATTGTTCATTTGGGACATTCAATTGGAGGGGTTTTAGCACTGTGCATTGTAAAGGATGACACGCTGTATTTACATACTGTAATTGCAATTCTCTAACCCTAATACTGTTTAGTCTATAACCATGCCCATGCACCCAGTGTATGACTACTTTCAATGCTATTGATAATGGAACATATGCATAGTAGTGTAGTGACTGGCAGTCACTACTGTGTCACACGCACACGTGTGACGTCACTATGCGGGGGAGCGTCACTATCCCCCGGGTCCAAACACACACATGACGTCATCCCGGCTGGAGGCAGGAATGACGTCAGGGCCGGTTCAGGGAGTCTGGAGGTTGGGTGAGGCCGTGGCACTCTTGAGTGAACCCGGCTGGACACGTGACCTATCAAGGTGGGGGCCGCGGGCCCAGAGGGACCTTGGGTTGCCAGGTGGATAGCCGGGGAGCTTCGAGAGGGTTCTCGAAGAGAGGCGTGTCCGGGGTGGGGCCCGCACACGCCGAGGCCAATAGAAGCAGCCTCCTCACAGGGCTCGAGGCTGCCCGTGTCAAGAATGAAGAGGGATCGTGAAGACGCCTTCTGAGAAGAAGAAGAGTCAAGCCTCCAGTCAGCGGACCCATAGTAGCCCACCTGACTGGGTCACGCTAGTGTATCCGAGAGTCTGAGATAGAGAGTGACGGTGTGTGTGTTAGTCAGAGTAGGACGGTGGTTACCACCTTATGTTAGTGTAACGAGCTTGTTAATAAACAGTTTTGCTTCCAAAGAAGTGTGTTCGCCTATCTGAGCCCATTACAGTCGTAAGTGGTACAATGGTGACACGTACAGTGCGTATATTGTACACATACAGTAGAGGTAATGGGTGTGAGATACCGATATAAGTCGATGGTATAGACATACAGTTTAGGATTAAAGTAATATGCGAAAAGTGAAGTGTAAAGGTTATTGTCAAAGACAAAGATGGCGTATCAGTAGTAGAATTGGGTTTAAGAAAACTGTTATTGAATAACCGGACGTGTACATCAGTCATATGGTTAATGGCGACTCGGTTCAAGAATTGGTGTGTATGACACACGTGCGGTTGCATCTTACAGATTAACCACAATAAATGTGTTTGCCCTCGATTTGGAGCAGCTGCCCACATCCTTCATTTCGGGTGTGCAACATGCAGACCCCAGACCCCCAAGAGGGGGGCTGGGGGGATGACGTCACACTCCAGGTCCCACTGGAAGGTTCGAGAAGGAAGGCGTGGTTAAGAGGCGGAGAGAGCTGGGACTGTGTATAAAAGCCGGACCCCTGAACGGGTCCGGCTCTTGTTGTCCACTGAAGATCCGAAGACGCCACCCTGAAGACCTGGAGCCAGGGCCAGGACCCGAGGACCTTGGCTAGGTCGGGTCAGAGTTAGCCTCCCAAGACCCCGTTAGCTGGAGGACCAATACTAGAGCTCTTGCCCCAGTGTGTACGACAGGCTAACCCAGAGGACATACCTCCCTAGAGTATCGGGTGGAAGTGGCCGTTACCCCTTTGTATCAGGGATTGTTATCGTTATTGTTAAATAAACGTGTTGCCTCCAGAGAAGCCTCTCCATTTACACCCACTACACATGTAAAGGGACTGGATGGAAAGTTGCATCGCAGAATTGTGAGAGATGGCTGCGACTTGAGAAGGCCTTGATCCAGCAGTGGATGTATCACACCTAATGATGACCGTTTGCGTTATGCGTGAGTGGAGTGGAGATCTCTGTGATTGTCCAATTGCGTGCTAAGTTCCTGGAGCCTGAGTACCAAATGGCCAAAACAATGATATACATTGCGTAGGCCACGATTGTTGGCATGTCCGATTCCCCAAGGGATTTACACACAGGGATTGCGTAGGGATGCAAATTCTCTTTTGGCCGCACTAACTCAGTCGAAAGGCACGGTAACCTTTTTCAGAAGTTGCAGTTTTGTTATAATTCCCAGAAAGTGTTTTACGCACACTCACCAATATTTATGAGATTTTTATTTGAACGATTCAAGCCCAAGCATGTTTAATGGAGATATAATGCAAACATCAGAAACTGTTTGGCTTATTGTCAGGAGCATATGTTTGAATTATTATTAAATTGTAATGGATGAATGAATCTGTGGCTGATATACTGTATATCATGGTGGGCGACATACGGTGCGAAAGAAGTTCAACATACATATATAAAGTTGCAAATTTATTAACGAAGTAATCTGTAGTTTCAACCATATTTGTGGCAATGCATTAATTTAGCACGTTAAAATTTTAGCGTAAGTTATGTAATAATTTGTGAGATTGGTGCACTCTTTTTCCGGTTGCAATCTTCACAAACTCAAAACGACCGACATGGGAAAGTGAGGTCACGTGATTTAACCACCCACTATGGACTTTCAGCCTGAACAACAGCTCAGCCACAAGCAGCTTTGGTTTTAATAAACGTGATATCGACTGGTACAATGTGTCAGCTACAACAAGCAATCATTATCCAATGTCTCAGTGCCTTTAAGTTTTTAATTCTTTTTTTTATTTCAGTGCTATTATATATTTGGGAAAGCCGTCAATCATCAGCTGATCGATCATTGATAATGCTGATATAAATGCCAATCCTGAATCTAGAAAATAATTAAGAAAAGTTGATGTAATACATCTATCAGACGATAGAAAATACTTAATGTCAATGATCATAACCCTAAAATAATGAAGTCGATGCTGTGGTGTACAATCAGGTGTGATTGCTCCACTGACATAAACACAACATACTTTTGCATGAAAATGTGGCTGATATTTAATTGAAAATAAGACTTTTTCCCAAACTGCCATCCAATAAGAAAACTTCCCTTTAAAGTATTTGTGTATTTATTAATACGTGCCTTTTATAGTTACCTAAGAATATAGGTCCTAGAACTAGCTGATCCATTACAATTGCATTATTTTAAATTAAAGACAAGCCACAGTGAGAGTATGGCCATGCAACACAATATGGATCATTAAGTAAACCACTTTAATCTTCTCTCCATCAAAGGAATAATATACAAATTAGGTAAAAAGCTAGTCTTTCAATGCACACACTTTTATTTGCACTCAAAAGTAGAAATACGTTATTTTCACCCCAGATTTTAATACAATTTGATGAATAAAAGTTGGTGCCTTGCATGTCATGTGTTTAAACATATCAAAAGGAAGACACCCACCTTCATAAGGTTGCACTCATTACACACAAAGTACTTGCCACAAATGAAACAATACCTTGCTGATCTCGTCATGGAACGTAAACCATCACGGGAACTCCCATCATCCTTGCAGCGGATTTTAGCTAGCCATCGACCACAGACGGTCATTGCATCGTTCGATTTCAGATACCCTTCTGCAACCGTCTGGAACGCTCTTTCTTCCGATATCAGGAAGCCACTGGAGATGTGCACTTTTAAATCTCGATTGAAAACTTATTTCTTCGAAACTGCTTTTTTGTTTTTTATTTATTGTCCTTCCCCTGCACATTCGATTAGTACGGCTGGCTTCATACGGTGCAAACAAAGTTCAACATATATGTAAAAAAATACTCAAAAATTGAGTCCCTCTTCATTACCATAAGCAGAGGTGGAACGCTTCAGGTTGACTGGATGAAGAAGGATAAAGAGATTCGTGAGTAAAATACATATTTACACAATGCATTTGTAGATGGAAGAATAAAAATATATTACAAAAAGTATTCACAGCGATGTATTTATAATATCAAGGGGAAAAAAGTCCACGAGCAGAACACGTGGACAACTAACGAATCCAAGAGTCCACCAACTGCCTTTGTACCACGTGGGATTGTTGTGACCTTGCAGTGTAGATTTCTTACATACATTTTCCTGCCCACTTCAGCAATTGTTTCTTGATGTAGTTGTCCCACCTGATGACGGACGCTTGTGTTGCGCCCGAAACGTCGTGATTTAATTTATTTTATTTTATACCTACGTGACTATACCGAAAGAACCAGAGTATACATTTTCCTGAATATAACACATATATTTAAAATAAAATGATTCGTATTACAAATGGCATGTATTTAATGTATTAAGACCAACGCTTAATGAAAGGTAGTGTAAATTGACCACCATCAGACAATGCACGTGGTAGACTGATGCATGTAGTGTCAATAGAGAACACCATATCCCTACTGTGCATAGTTTAATGAGCACACAAACAGTGTTGACGATGCATTTTTTTTATTCATTGCTTGAAAGAATATTCTAGTAGCTTTCTGCCATGACGAATTCGAGCGCTGAAAGCGTTTGCTGTCATTGCAAAGTAATCTTCTAGAAGGCACAAATGATTAATGCTT